CAGCAGAGGCTGGGGAATACAGCTACAAAGCATGATGATGATGAAACGATGACGTTGAAGCAGTGGATGCTAGTGTTCTCAGACGTTGGTTTATCAGATCACACGTATCAGGTTTTTTTTTTTATTATCTCTGGTCCGAGGCAATGTGTTCAACACACTGGTACTTCTTCCAGTTATTTAACTGTCAACAATGGTGTACCACAAGGCTCAGTCTTAGGACCCACCCTCTTTATAATCTACGTAGTAATGTAGGTCAGATCATCCCTGATGTGTCCTTACATTTCTATGCCGACGATACAGTTGTTTATTGTCGAGCTAAAACGGTTGCTAAGATTTTCCAGCTTTTATAGTCTGCATTCGACATCATCCAATCAGATTTGTTCCGTCTCAAACTGATGCCAAATGCTGATAAAACCAAAGGGATGTTGTTTTCAAACAGGAAGTTGGTACCAGCAGTCCTTCCTCCTAGCTTATCTACGAATGGTGTTCTTATTGAGTTTTTTGATTCTTACAAATACTTGGGAATCTTGGTCGATGCACATCTCTCTTTTAAGCCTCATCTCGAAAACTTGACAAAGAAATTGAAATTAAAATTGGGTTTCTTTTTCAGAAATAGATCTAGCTGAACTCTGAATGCTAGGAAACACCTTGTAACTGCTGCTTTCCTTCCCTCTATTAACTATGGTGACATTATTTACATGAATGCTCTGCAAGCGCCCTGCAGATGTTGGACACTGTCAATCACAGTGTGCTAAGATTCATAACTGGTTGTAACTACCGTACCCACCACTGCACCCTGTATTCACTGGTTAACTGGTCATCATTAACTTCACACAGACTCTCACTGGTACATTTTCATCTTTAAATCACTTGTTGGTCTGCTGCCTTCATATACCTCCTCCTATGTCACGTCTTCAGTGCAGTTACAGCGTGCACTCTCAAGACATCATACTTGCAGTGGTCCCTGTGGACTGAATTTGGCAAAAAGGCCTTTTCTTACTGTTTCCTCCTGTTTCCTGCAACACCTTGCAAAAAGATCTGAAGATTTCGACCTTGACACCTCTAAGGGATTTTAAACAGCTGCTAAGTTCATGGCAAACATCAATGCAGACATGCTCCTGTTTTTAGTATTTTACCCCGTTTCATAATGTAACTTGTTTTTATTTCATTTTATATCACTACTTTTATTTACTTTTCATTTTATATGCTTTTTATGACTATTTATTTTTGTGTGTACCTTATCTGTAGTTTTCTTTTTTTTTTTGGTTTGTTTTAAACAGATCTTTCTTGAAAATAAGTCCTCGTGACTCAATGAGACTAACCTGTATAAAGGTTGAACCTCCTTCTGTCTTTATTTCCCAGACACGTGTTTTTGATGTACAATGATTAAAGTAGGCTGTTCAAACAAACCACTGTAGCTATTGAGGTTTTATTGTCTGTTGTAGATATAATCACTGAGAGAAGAGAAAAGGGTCGTTCTTAGGTCGTAAGTCTTTATGTGACGGGAAGAAGACAAGACAGCAGCTAAGAACAGCAGAGTATTACCAGTGCTTTAAATTTACACAAGTTGAGATTATTTTCATGTTAACGCCACTAACTTAGCCAGGACAGAAATTGTTTTTATCCAAATGTGAAATGCTGTATTTCTTCACCCATCTTCAGAGCTTTGCTGAGTCCTTCCTCTTCCTGAGGTGTGTATTGGCTGTTGGCATTACTGCCTCCGAGAGAGTGGATCAGGACAGGCAGCTCCAGTAAAATAGAACTCTACAGAAGTTGCTCCTCTTCAATCGCATGACTTCTCAACTCGAGTTGAACGTCACGCTGCCGCGAAGTGGTGTCTGAAACTGGTTTTAAAACACTTATAAGTACGAGTGCGCATGGTATTGGACTGATACTTGATACTGGTCTTTGCATCAGTGCATCCCTACTTTAAGTATCTGTTGCTACCATATTAAATTTAATTTCAATATCAGTGAAAACAACAGTTGCTACGACAGAGCTTTAGGGCCATGCTAAGGAAAAAAATAATTAAAAGCCATAAAATTACGAGAATAAAGTCCTAGTATTACAAAAATAAAGTTGAATAAAGTCATATTATGAGAATAAAGTCGTACGAGACTTTTTTTTTTTTGGCAGCTCTCATTTATTTATTTATTTTCCACGAGTCAGATCACAATGCGACCTGTCAATCAATCCAGTAGGCGTGTCGGCAAATGACCAATCCAAAGCTAAATGCTCCTTACCTGCAGAGCTGCTGCAGCCCATCAGAGCGTACAACTTTACTGTAAGCAGGTTCAAAGTCCTGATTCTGATAATAATCTGTTGTGCTCACAGATCAACTATCTCCATGAGATAGTTGATCTGTAAATGGCAAATTGTACTTATATAGCACCTTTCTATCTAATCAAGATACTTAAAGCACTTTACAACACAATCTGTGCCTCATTTAGTTGATTGAGTTGATTTACCCATTCATACAGCACTCTATCTATACAAAGCTAGTTGAACAAATCATTCTAATGAGACTAATCAGAGTTTTATCACATTCATACACTGATGGAACACGCATCGGAGGCAATGAGGGGTTCAGTGTCTTGCCAAGAGACACTTCAGCATGTAACTGCTGGTGGATTCGAACCCCCAATTCTTGCATTGGAGGACGACTGCTCTAACCACTCAGCCACAGCCGCCCATTGTAAAACCAATACCAAAGTACAAGATGCTCAACATTCTTCATTTTACCACAGTTAAAATGCAGTAAACTCTGCTTTATCGTGTCGGAGTTAGGATAATATTACGACTCATTTAGCTTCGGATTGGTCATTTACTGACACGCCTACTGGATTGATTGGCAGGTCGTGCCGTGGATCCGACTAGTGGAAAGAAAATTAATAAAAGAGAGCTGAAAAAAAGTCTCATACAACTTTATAGTAACTTTAGTAATATTAAGACTTTATTTGACTTTATTCTCATAATTTTAAGGCTTTTAATTAAAAAAATTAAATTAAATTTGGCGTGGCAATGTTTTTTTTTTCTTAGCGTGGCCCTAAAGCTCCGTCGTAAAATGCAGCCACTTTCTGAAGGTTCAATTAAAACATGCTCACTGATTCACAAGATATTTAGCTACATGATTAACCTTCCTTTTGGCAGCTGGCTATAATTAGATGGTTAAAAACCTAGTTTGCATTACGTGACACCTCTGTGGATGAATACGTGCTGTAGTCATCAACACAGTCCCACTTGGAAAATACTGAGTTACTGTAAACATTGACGCTGTCAAGAAATAAAGTATGAAAGGTCATCTGTGTGGAGGAGGAGTGTGGAGGTTACTGAAGAGAACCGTAGCTTCTCACAAACACCAGCCTGATGGAGGCTGTTCGTCTTTTCCTTTGTAGTGAGCTGAGTTTCACAACTTGTTTTTAGCGTCGTATGTTACAGATTTGTGGTCATATTCGAATAAACAGCTGCCTTTTGACACACACACACACACACACACACACACATATATATATATATATA